AAACTGGGGATAATAGTGCCCCTACCTCACAGAATTGTTGCGAGGATTATGAGATCATGTAAAATCCTTAGCATGTCGCCTGGCACTTAGTTACTGCTCAGTAACTATTGGCTATCGTATTATATCCCAATTCATTCCAAAGAAAATTCCAAAGGCAGTTTCACACATTATGTATATACTCAATAAATATTTGATAAATGAATGAACTAAAGTATCATTATTATGAAATCTATACTTACTTCTGGTAAATTTATTTCCAAGGGACTGGCCTGAGTAAACAGTACTGACTACCATTTAATATGTTCTACTGCTGTTACCCAATAATTCATGAGCCTGCTGTTAAATCCCCTTTTTTCTTTCCTTTTTTTTTTTAAAAAAAATAACAACACTTGGTTCTAGGCAACTGTAAAACAGTGAGATTGAATAGATTCCATTTTGGGTGGTTAAAAAAAAAAAGGATTACCCATACAAAAATGTAAGGGTGACCTTGAAAAATAGGATTGTGATATTACAATACATCCGAGATGCAATTAATTTTGTAGCTAAAATGAGAAAACTTGAATTTTTCCTCTTCATGCAGACAAAAAATGGACCACTACACTACACCGTTTAACCTTTCTGCAAATAAATTTCTAATTGTTGCAATGAATGTGCTTTCATTTTTTACAGAGTGTGTGTGTATTCCTAAAACATAAGTCTCTAACACTAAAACTTTCTATGACATTTCAAATGCAGTAATAGACACAATCAATCACACTAACCTCTAAATCACTTTTACAGTTTATATTATGGAGAAAAAAATATCATGGAATTAACTTTAAATTCTTAGTAATATCACCTATCATCTGACCTGAAGAAACCAACAACATAAGAAATAGTACTTCAGTTTTACCCTCCATATCTTGGCTATCACAGCAAAAGATATAATTTTGTCCAAGATTCCAATAACAGGACTGATTTTTTAAAAAGTAAACTTATCAAAGACTTATATTTAATAATAAAAACTGGGAGAATTATCAAATTTTAAAGCCAAATATCAGCAATCACTTTTTTGACAATATCTTGTGGGAGAGTGAATTGGTAAATTCATGTAAGCATATAAGCCTACAGCAACTCAGAGCTATTGAATTTATTCTATGCCATCACTACAGTACTGAAAAGGATTAAAGAATTTGTTTTCAGGACCAACACCTAAGGCAATTTATTCCTGAAATATAGTTTGCATGTTTTTAAAATGACCATCTTTTTACTCTCGTAAGTATCTAGACTGAAAGCAAATACAATATTACCATAAAACTTAATGAAATATGAATTTTTTCAGGAAGCCCAAAATATAAGTTCCTTCGAAACAAGCACTACTCGACTTTACAAAGGCACCTGTCTAAAGGTAATATTAAAGGTGAAATTCAAAGGAAGATAGCCATGGTTAAAAACCAAAATGAAACAACAAAGTAAAAAAGAAACAGATTTAGTTTGGGACAAAATTAGGTAACATTAGGGAAAAATAGAATTCATTAAAAGTTACGTTTCTTCTATTTCTGTATTTTGTCATGAATGTTGCTTGCAAAAAACAGGGCAGTGATAAGGTCTCCAAAATGCTCTGTTATACAGAAAATTTGCTGTAATAGAAAATGATTCCTACATCATTTGCCCATAGAAAACTATTCTGATTTTAGAGACCTCCAAGAAAGAACATCTTTCTACAATTTACATTAAACTTCTGTCAATAATTCCTTTTTATCTAAGGGTAGGAAACATGTCTGTTTTACTCATTTCTGTATTTCTGTCCCTAGCAGAGTGCTGGAGGCACTGTGTATGAATGCACTCATTCATTCACTCATTTATTCATTCATTCAGCAAATATTTACTGGGCATTTACTTTGTGCCAGATACTGTGAAAGTAGAGAAGTAAGGCACATGACAAATGATAGGGCTCTGCCCAGGTAGCTTATAGTTTAGTGAGGGAGACAGACGTTTATCAAATAGATACAGAAACAGTTAAGTTCCTATTGTGATGATGCTACCAAGGAGAAGTACAGAGTGTGGTGAAGACATCATGAGAACTTACTCTAATTTTAGGAAGGAGTGGTCAAAGGTCAGGAAAGGTTCCCCTGACAAATGACATTTAAATTGAGACTTGAAAACGACTAGAAGTTGGCCAGCTTTATGAAGGGGAGGAGAAGCAGTCCAGGCAGGGGAGAACAGAACATAAATCAAAGGTCCCCAAGTCAGGAAGGAGTTCATGGATACAGTGGCTGAAAGGCACAGCAAATGAGAAAGGCTGGGGATAAGGGTAGAGAGCTGAATAGGAGACAAAAGATAAATTGTCAGCATAAAACAGAGTAAGATGATAACAGTATCTGAATATTTAAGTCATTTAAAGTCTTTTTCTCGTGTAAAATAAATAACCTAAGGGAACTGAGTCTACAATGTTCAAGATCTGCAGAAAGAAGACCTGGATAATGCCTTGGTCCCACCAGTGACCAGTTACATGCCCTTGCACTTAACCATTCTGAACCTCTTCATTCTCTTTGTAAACAGGTACTCAATATTTTACCTACTGGGAATACAACGATAATACACACGTTCTTATGATCTTATATCCTTAAAAAGAAAGAGAGAGATGTGCATGGGAGACATCCATCCTACGTCCTATAAGAGATGACGTCCAAAGGCTAACACAAGGCTCCTGCAAAACCACTATGAAAATACAAGTGCACTCATAACCCTGTAAACCTGAAATTATTCAATTTACAGATATCCAAAACGACCACAGTACTCCAGCATGTGATTGCAAGAGAATAAATATAATAGAAACGTTACTCCACCATTGCAACATGGGTGAAATATCAAAACTGGACCTCAGAAATAAAGTTAGTGGTAGAATTGAACCAAGGACAAAAAATAACACATGCAGAGCAAGTGCATTATATTAATTGTACTTACTTCCAAAGTTTCCTGACTTTTAATTCAAAAGCTCATTCACAACCTCACAGCTGCATGCCAAAAGGCAGAACTCATTTCACACTTCCCCCAACAAAAAGTAAATGCCTACATTGCCATCTATAAAATACATTAACATTCTTGCTTTACTATCTCATTCACTCACATTCACCTTATGGTCTACTTAAACTATGGCACCTTTCTAACTTAGCATGAAGCAAGTTAACCCCCACATAATTTTCCATTTGTTCAGTTGGTCTCCCTTCCTTGTGTACTGCATTACTCATGGTGCTATATTATTCCTGATTTTACTTCATTCTACAGTATAATACCTCTCTCCTATTTTAAATGTCATATTAATTTCCAGGTCGTCTTAACTTCGATCATAGGGGAACCTAATACCTCTGATCCTAGTGTTTTTGCATTCAAAAGGTGATAATATTAATAATTGCAAAATACATTCAAAACGCAGCATATTTCAATGGTCAACTTATACAACAGTAAACTATGACTGATTACCTGCTATTACTAGAGATCTGATTGTTTATAAACTTACCAGGAAGAAATCCTGATGTAAATGAATACACTCCAAAATTCTACTGAAGAACTACCCAATAATATATTCATGAACTATAACAATTGTATAGGATAAGACTGAGACAAGCACATCACTTTCTACTCAATATAAAACATTAATGTCCCATTTTTCCACTTTAATTTAAATTGAGAATGAGTTCAAAATCATAGAAAATGCTAAGAAAAATAAAATATGTATGAGCCTCATGTTATTTATACAAACATCCCAGAGGCAAAAAATGAGGGAAAAATTAAAAAAAAAAAAAATCAACAAAAATGTGCTATTACCTCCAAGAAATGCAATATATCTTCTTTTCTAGTAATGATCACACTAAACTCTCTTGATGCTATTTTATTTTTAAAAAGTGTAAAACAAGTTATAAGAAAGAATTCCAATCCCACTGTAGTCAGTTTTATAAAACGAGAGAGAAAAAAGTCCTACGGTAGGAGGGGAAAAGAATTTTCTTTAAAGGATGGGATACAGTGCTTTAACTGACTTTCTCCTATATCATCATCCACTGTTTAAAGTAATAGTACGGTCCATCACTTAATATATCCCTAATAAAAGAAAAACATATGTTAAGTTGAAACTGATTTTTTTCTTATTTTCCCAAAAAGTTATAAAGTGTGTCCTTTTTTTTATGGAGGAATTTTTCCCCGGTTCAAAAAGTCTTCACCTTGCACACGGCTTCTTAAAAATACATAAAAGGCATTATTTTGCAACTTTCTCTACCCTCTTCAAAAACAACCAACTCTGTTTCTGGTGCAGCAGCTGTGATTCGGAAGATCTGTGCCTACGTGTGTGACCTTGGGCACATCATTCATCTTCTCAGTTTCCTCATCAGCATCCCAAAGTAAAAGCTCTTGGAACGCAGTGAAGTGTACACGTATCTTAGGGATTACCCTGAAGAGGGTTACGGTTTTCTCCTCAGGGCAAAGTTACCTCCTTAGAGGGGCGACATCCGGAAGCTGGAAATGAATCCGTAGATCTCTGTCAACATTTGACTCCTCCTTCCCCAGCTCTTTCCTCAAAGGGCATAACCTGAGTCACCCCGAGAAGACTCCCAAGCGTCTTTTCCTTCCTCCACTCCTCCCTAGGCTACTTCTGAGGCAAAAGAAAACAGCAGCCTCGCCTCCCCTCCCCAAGCCACACCTTAAGAGGACCCCACCCCAGGTACATCCGCCCTCTCCCTGCTCCCCGGGCACCAGAGGCCAACCTCGCCCTTCCCCTCCCGCCCCCACCTAGAAGAGACTTCCTGGAGGCGTTCGGGCCCGAGCAGGGCAGGCGGCATTTACAAACCAGCTTTACGCCACTCGCGTAGGGTAACCTCGCTTACGCCCATAGGGCCCCGTTTCCAGCTCCGTCCGCTCCGCCTGCCAGAACCGAGCCCGAGTGCCTCAGCCACGGCCCTCGTGTGATTCCAAACCTCTAGTGCTCCGCGCAGGGCTACAGGAGCCGGGACAGAACAGCCACACCTTACCGGCAACTGAGGCACTGACTTCACTTCCCACCTTCGAGCCCTCTTCAACTCCCGGATCAATTCACTCCGGCGACGCCGGAAGGACCCGAGAGGAACCAGGCGTTGTCCGGAATCCTGCCCAGCCGGAGTCGCGCAGGGGCCTATGGGGACTCGTAGTTCCACTCGCCGGCTTCGCCGGCAATTCGTGCACAAGCAGGACTACAACTCCCGAAAGGCCGTGCGGTGGAGCGTAAGGCGATGGGTGGGGACACTTCTAGCCAATAGTAGGAGAGTTCCCTGCCTTTGCGGGAGGAGGTGAAATGAAGAGAGAGGGTGCACGGAAAGAAGAGGAAAGGAGGGTTCAGCTCTCACCTGCGCCAATCAGGGTGCACGATCGGCCCTGCGACTACTCACCCATTGTGGGGGCGGGCTAGTGGAGCTGAGGAAAGAAGGGAAGTAGCTCAGGGGGAGAGTTCAAAGTGGGGAACATAGAGCTACTGAGCTGTGGACAGGGGTGGAATGGACGCGTTGGGGGAAGCGCCGCGGTGGAGGGAGGGGGCAGTGTGGGGAGGGTCCGTGGCCGGAGGAGCAGCTTCCACGGGAGCGGCCGAGCCCCAGACACATCGGGCGGCCAGACCTGCGAGTCGGGGAGGGATAGGTTGAGCCTGGACTCCTGGCGGTGCCCGGGCGGGGCGGGGGGCAGCTCCAGGTGTGAGGCTACCGAGCGAGAGGAGAGGGGTCCCCAGGGAAAGGAAGGCGGCGGAACAGCTGCAGAAGCGCAGGGGTCCGGAAGGTCCAGGACGGCTTCCCGCCGCCTCCAGCGGGGCGGCAGCAGAAACAGCGGGGGGAGGAGCAACAGCTGCCGAATTCGCCAACTGGAGGAGGGGAAGGCGGAGCTTGTGTCCCGGTAGCTGCCGACGGCGCAGCCCGGACTTAGTTTCCCGGGAGAGAGGAGAGCAGGATCCGGAGCGGAGCGGAGCGGAGCGCGGTCCTGAGCCTCAGCGCCCGCATCCCGCCGGGGCTTGCAGGTGTGTGGGAGGTAAGCTGAGCGTTTCTCTGGCGCCTGCACATTGCCCGGGAGAAAGCGTCTCCCAGCAGGAATTCCATCACGGCACGGCCGAAAAAGAGTCTCTGCCTCGGCTCAGAGGGCTGTGCGAACCTTTTTAGGTGAAATGTACATTTTTGGACTTTGGCCGGCGGGGACGCGGGGGAGCGAAAGGTGGCCTGACTCTGGATGGAAAGGGCGTGGTTAGTGTTGTTTGGTTTGAGTTGTGCCATGAAAACTGTTCAGGGAGATTGTAAAATTGAGGGAAAACCTGTTAATTGAGAACAAGGTGAATGTTATCTGGGTAGGTGCGTAGATGGTAAAAAACAAAATGTCACTGATACAGAATTACTTCAGAACTCTGTCACTAGGAAAATAACTTTGCATCCTTCGCTATCTATCCGTTACATTGTTTTATCAGATTATCCTGCTACCGACCTGTTTTCCAGGGTGGTTGTACTGCAGGTCCCTAGAATTGAAAGAGGTCTGTATTAAAGAAGCAAATGCAGGCAGGAATAATCAAGAAAACTAAACCCATTAGAAGAACTTTTGCCAGCAATAATGTAAAAATATGTTTCAGTAGATGGATACTTAGCTTTCCTTCCAGTGGCTCTAGACTATTGGAACAAAGACCGGGACTCAGCCACAGTGCGAACATATGGTGCACTTCATTGCTGCTCCTAATTCTCTCATTTGTACATATCCGGAAATATTAGCACATTTTAAAAAACAAAAGTATATTAAAAAGTACAAGGAAAGCTGTAAGAGGATCTTTTCTGCTTAAACAGTATATGCTAATTGATTACCCCTCAAATGTGTTATGATGTATTCAGAATTAAAATACTTGTAATAGTATCATAAAATAAGTTTATTCTTAGTATTAAACCATGTGTGATATAATGTAATTAAATAACTATGGATGAAAATATATTTTAATATTAGGTAAAGATGAGAGACTGCATACCTTTGTGTACCTATGACAATATTACAGCCTTTCGTTTTTAGAAAAGTATGTAAAAATCTATTTGCCTAGTTTGTTTTCTTTTTGTTACAGGTTCCCCAGATTACATAGCTTTTATTCATAGTAGCATACTGCAGCACATTTTGCTCTGAAATTCTTTCATTGTGACAGTTGTATATTTCAGAGTCTGCCTGAATATTTTAATCTGGATGTTTTTGAACTCAGGTCAATAAAATGGAGTAATTACCTTCTATTTTCTTGTTTTCATGCTTTCTTGATTTATTTAGGACTTTTGGGTTTTATTTCTGTAAAGGCACACAAAATTCCTTTTTGAAAAGAAATGGCTGGAAGAAATTCTATTCATAGCTTAAAGTTCATTCCCACCAGTGTGCTACCACTGATAAACCTAAGTGACTTATCAATGTATTTACTCCCTCCCTCCAGTAACTCCTTCCCTCCCACACTCTCATACACCAGGGAAATATATAGGTTGACAGGTCTTAGAAAAGCAGCTGCCTTTAGATTGTCCCCAGGCAGATCAGGTAAGTATTAGAAGCAGCCGAGAGCTTAGAAGAAAACGCAACAGTAGCCACTAAACTTGGCAGCCATGGTAAGGATCTGATTTAATCTTTGCTACATCATGGGAGAGTCCATTAATCCACACAGCTGATATGACCCTGTGAAAATGATTTTAGGGGGGAAAATGGATGCTAGGGTGTAGTGAGGCTTAGAAAAGATTGTTTACCCTTGTTATTTGTGATTAAGTGGATTGTCCTGAATCGGTCTTAGATTCTTTCTCAGACTCTGCTAGTGATTCATTTTGTGAAACTGAACACTTGCTGTCAATGGTTTATTTTCCTTGTATACTAATAATAATAACAATACTGGCAATGAAGTTCTTTCAGAGCCTTTATAAAAGATCTTTTTGGAAGAGTTTGGTTGAAGATGAGCTAATAATCAAGTAAATGGGAAATAAAATAAATATCAAACTGTTAAAATTCAGATGTACTTTGAATCCCAACTATTCATAGGTCTTCTACTCTAAGGTATAATAAAAGATTGAATTTCTTTCGGAATGAATGAGTTTGTGATATTAAAGCAGTGGATTTTTCACCTGTTTCCAAGGTGAATTTTTTTGTTATGTCAGTGAAAGAGATTGGGTTCCTATATCATTTGGAAGTAAGGAGAGCATATTTCTATTTTATTTATTTATTTATTTATTTTTAGAGATCTAATTGGCTTTATTCAACAATTCATGAATCAGGCAGCACCCCATCTACTAAATAGAAAGGTGCTCCCAAGATGATGTTTTTATAAGGGAGGAAATCATTAGCAATATATGGTACTTGGGTATTTGTTACCTTGAATTCTTGACACATTTTAAATTGACATTCACATTAAATCTCAGATAATCTGAAGACATTGATTGTATGTTACTGGTGTTGAGAAGGTTTAGTACATGACAGTTCAGAGTTTTATGTAAAGTACTACCTAGGTTAAAAGCCAATTATTCTGCTCTTGATTTTTATCATTTGTGTATGGCTATCAGTGAATATACAACATGAAAACCAACAGGGTGCTGAATCTCTCTCTTGAATGGAAGATGCTCTGAGATTAATGTTCTTTAGCCAAAGACTTGGTTAATTACAAAATACATTTTGGACTTTTTTTTTAAATTTGAAATTCTGACTCTAAGCCTATTGAGTAGCATGAATTTCTCTTTCTAACAGGAGGATTCACTGATGACTTAAATGTTCAAGAGCAAATGGTTTTGGTGCAGTCGGGTAGGGTTGGGGGCTTTACAAGTGGAAATAGATGTGAAGAAAACTGTTTGAAAAACATACCCTTAGTAAGAGCAAAGAGGTTTGATCTTTTTTTAATTTGTTAAATGCCTGTAAGTGATTTCATGAGCTCCCCCAAATCATTAATTTTTAGAGGCCTATATCCATAGTGGGATACCGTACTTTCCTACATTGTCATTTTAACTGGAGTCAGACTGACATTAATTCATTAGATTTTGAATAATCATTGGTTATTGAAAGAAAGCAGAAAAGATCATGCATTCATACAATCATTTCTAACTGAAACTTACTATTATTTGGATATAATATTAAAAAGAAGTAAAAACCTAAAATGATGTTTTGCCCCTTAATAACAGAGGTACTTGACCCAGACACTAAAGATAGCAAAAGTAACACACACACCTGTCCCCTTTTAAACCAAACCCCTAAGGTTAAGTGTTGCTTTGAGGATCGGTATTAATTATTATACAAAGGTAAGGATTTGCCACTTACTGAATCAGAACCATTGACCAATACTTTAAAAAAAAATTTCTGTTGAATATATTGGGGTGACATGAGTTAATAAAATTATATACGTTTCTAGTGTACAATTCTATAACACATCATCTGGATATTGTACTGTGTGTTCACCACCCCAAGTCAGGTCCTCTCCATCACCATATTCCCCCTTCACCCTCCTCTACCTCCCCCAACCCCCTTTCCCTCTGGTAATCACCACACTGTTGTCTATGAGTTTTTTGTTTTGTTTTGTTTTTGCTTAATCCTCTCACCTTTTTCACCCAGCCCCCAACCCCCCTCCCCTCTTAACAGCTGTCAGTCTGTTCTCTGTATGAATCTGTTTCTATTTTGTTTGTTTATTTTGTTGATTATATTCCACATATAAGTGAAATCATATGCTATCTGTCTTCCTCTGACTGGCTTATTTCACTTAGCATAATACTCTCCAGGTCCATCCATGCTGTTGCAAAAGGTAAGATTTCCTTCTTTTTTTACAGCTGAGTAGTATCCCAGTGTGTAAATGTGCCACAGCTTTTATATCCACTCATCTACTGATGGGCACTTGGGCTGCTTCCAGTACTTGGCTATTGTAAATAACACTGCGTGAACATAGGGGTGCATATATTCTTTAAAATCTGTGTCGGGTTTCTTCAGATATATTCCCAGAAGTGGAATCGCTGGGTCATGAGGCAGTTCCATTTTTAATTATTTGAGGAAATCCCACACTGTTTTCCACAGTGGCTGCACCCATCCGCATTCCCACCAACAGTGCACAAGGGTGCCCTTTTCTCTGCACCCTGGCCAGCACTTGTTTGTTGATTTATTG